CTCATCCAATCATACACAGGCACATACGAACGGACTTGACATCCTAAATTGTTATTTCTCAACACTTCCCTACAATTTAAGATGATTGATCTCTCTTTTAACAACTGAATGACTACTAAACGATACAATACAAAAATAAAATTTGTTTAATACATTCCAATGAGAGATCTCAAGTAGCAAAACTGAATTCGCGGAATTGGCTTCGTACAAATGTCAGCTACTTGCTGCTCACTACACACATGCGTCATACACAAACGATCATTTACAACTTGATCTCGCAAATAATGGTAACGCACATCAATGTGCTTACTTTTCTTATGAAATTCAGGGTTTTTAGACAATTTCATAGCGCTGGTACTATCTACGATCAACGTTGGCACAGACTTTAAAGGCGAAATATCTTCAAACAGACGCTTTAACCACACTGCTTCTTTCGCCGCTTCGCACGCAGCAACGTATTCAGCCTCGGTTGTCGAGAGACTGACACACTTTTGCCGATTACTCGCCCACGTAATGGCACCGCCACAATACACACTGATCATGCCACTGACAGACTTACGCGTTTGCGGATCACTTGCATAATCAGCGTCACTATACACATGCAGCTCTCCAGATGCTAAGCTCGCCGAATAGCGAATCCCCGTAGATGATGATCCTCGCACGTACCGTAAGATCCTCTTCACCAATTCCCAGTGCTTCGTCTCCGGCTTCTCCAAGAACTGCGATGCGTAGTTGATAGCAAAAGCAATATCTGGCCGGGTGGCCACCGCCAGGTACATGAGACAGCCAACCGCCTCACGATACGGCGCCGATGACAGAATAGCATCCGCAGTGTTCTGATGAATATACTGATCAATAGGAGTGGACACCGGGTTTGCTCCATCCATCTTGAAACGACGCAGTACTGACTCGGCATAACCCTTCTGATGGATTGTTATTGACCCGTCAGCATCTTGAGCAATCTGCAGATTCAAGAAGCAGCCAAACTTCTCAATTGTAATTTTGAACCTTGACTGCAATTCTCTCAAGAACTCATCAATGTCACTCTGCCTTGTCGCCGCCACCAGTCCGTCATCGACATACAGAACTACGAGCAGCTTGTTACCATTGACATTTCTGATGAATAAACAAGGGTCCGCACTACTTTCCGCCAAGCCAAGTCCCATCACAACCTCCTTGAATCGATAGTTCCAGCAGCGGGGTGACTGCTTGAGTCCATACAAGCTCCGCTTTAATTTGCACACTCGATTGCTGCCATCTGCGAATCCCTCGGGTTGTGTCATGTAGATGTCCTCAGATAGGTTCCCGTTAAGGAACGCCGTCTTCACGTCAAATTGAGCGAGTTTCAAACGCTCAGCGACTGCAACACTTAGCACCGACCGAAGAGTATCGAATCGTACTACTGGGCTAAAAGTCTCCTGGAAATCCACACCTGGCCTCTGGTTGAAACCGCGCACAACCAGTCTAGCCTTATGTCGGCTAACGCTGCCATTAGGATTCCTTTTGACCTTAAACACCCAACGATTCGTGATGGCTCGACGATTGGAAGGCAACTCCGTCAATTCCCAAGTAGAGTTCTCAGCCAATGATTGAAGCTCCTCTTGCATCGCTTCTTTCCACGACTCTCTCTCGACAGACTCCATTGCTTCCTTGTAACTTCTCGGTTCAAGCTCAGCCACACACATCTCACCGTATCGTTCTGGTGGACGTAAAGTGCTCCTGTCTCGCAAACGTTTCTGATTCTCAACCGCAGGCACATTGTTACTTGCCTGCTTTCTACTGGCAGACTGAATCTCACGTTCTGCGTCAATCTCAGGCTTCATGATAATACTCGGTCTTGCGTTCTCCACAGACTCATCTGGCATTTCATCGGCTCTAAACCTTCCAGGATGAAGTTCCACTGGCTCAACTACCTTAGTCTTCGGCTCACAATCAGTAGACACGACAGCAACAGTCCTTCCACCAGCTTCAGGCTCAAAAATCACGTTCTTGCTCCTGGCGACAGTCTTCTCACCTCGAGTCCAGACTCGATAGCCGTCGATATCTTGAGAATAACCCACCAAGACTCCTGGCTTTCCCTTTGCATCCCATTTGCGTCGTCGCTCCTTTGGAATTTGTACAAAACAGCTGGTTCCAAACACGTGCAACTGATGCAAGTTCACGGATTTTCCAGTAAAAATCTCATACGGTGCTTTTCCACTTTCTCCAGTAGGACCAGATCTATTGAGTAAGTAGACAGCTGTGTTGACCGCTTCAGCCCACAGTATTTTAGGCAATTTCTTCGCTAAAAGCATTGTGCGTGCAGATTCCACGATTGTGCGATTGGTACGCTCCGCACATCCATTCTGCTCTGGAGAATAAGGGTTGGTAATCACAAGCTGGACTCCGTTGGCTTTCATGAGCTTCTTCATCTTCTCGTTATTAAACTCAAGTCCTCCATCACTCTGGAATACGCGTAACGGACGTCCACATTGATTTTCAACAAACTTCAAAAGCTCCTCGACTGTAGCGACAACCTCAGATTTTTCTTTCAGGAACTTTACAATGCGAAACTTCGAGTAATCACAGGTGAAACAGACAAAATACTTAGCGCCGCCCAAAGACTGCTCCTCCATTGGCCCGCAGACATCAGCGTGCATGATTTCACCAGCTCTAGTTGCACGTTGCGTTCTCGACTTGAAGGTAACCCTCTGCTGCTTCCCCTCGACACACGCCGCACAGAAAGAGTCATCGGTGATGACTGTCACACCACGATCTCGCAGGAACCTTGCGACATGACGTTTGTCTTGGTGACCTAAGCGCTCGTGCCACACTTGAAGAGACTCAGCAGACGCCAGGTTAACCTCACAAGAGGTATTGCTTGTTGCACGGATATGCAATTTATACAGCATTCCATACCTCTCTCCACATAAACGTACAACTCCATCCTTGACAAACTCGCACCTCTTCCGATTCACTCGCATATTCAAACCTTTGTCCAGAATAAGACTAAGTGACATCAGATTGCGACGGCCGTCTGGAACATGTAAAACGTTATCAATGTGACAGGTCAACCACTCTCCATTTACCAGAGCCTCAGTATTGATTCTTCCCTTTCCAACAGCAAGCATTGTCGAGTTATTACCAACAAGAACCGTGAGAGGTTTTGCAAAAACTTCGTAGGTAACAAACCATTCTCGATGTAGACAGTAATGATTCGTAGCTCCCGAGTCCATAAGCCAAACATCCTGTTCGCACTCAGTGTTCTCAACTTCCATAGCAAAGGCAAAATCACTGCCACCAGCACCACTAGAGTTATTGTTGCTTGACGTCTTCTTGCCTTTGTCCTTTTT